CCAGGACACAAGTAGGGGATCAGAGCTGAAGTGCAGCAGCTAGGACACAAGCCAGTGCCCACATGGGATGCTGGCAGCACAGCTTGAAGGACTTATTGGCCTGTTGTGTCACTACATAGTTCCCGGTTATGGACATTTTATAAGCTCTCCAAACAATTGCAACGTGTAGGCAAAAACGCAGACCCGTGTCTAAGACAGAGCTGCTCAAAGTTTTTGTTTGTTTGTTTTTCATTTTTAATTATATTTTTGACAATCTTTACATAGTTAGGGTAAAAAGGTTCAAGGGCTACAGGAAAGTGGGTAAGGCTACCTACTATTTCCATATTGTTTCCTTCATGTATCTGAGGTAAAGGGGGATATTGAGGGAGAAGCCCCACCCAGTTTCCCACCCACCCCAGGTCCCTGATGTGGGGAATGCTCTGAGATACTTGCTCAAGTGGTTTTGATAGTTCGCCAGTTATGAATCGCTGCCAATCTCGCCACTCCAAGCACGATGAGGTCGTTGAAGAATCCACTGATTGACATAGTCCATCACAGAGTCTCCATTTGCCCGGTGTTTCACTGCCAACATATAGCTGAGATGGTTGATTGACCTGTTCTGTCTTCTGTCTTTTCTTGGTTAGGGTTCTGAGTCCAGGATTTAGATTGGGGAGATCCCCAAACAAACTTTGTCTGAGGTGTTCCCAGATCAGATTCTTGTATGTGCTAGCAAGTACAGGGCCCAGCACAGTCCATGGCCCCAACCAGCTGGTGGTTGCAATTGCTGGGTTGGTTCTGTTTCCAGCCCCTACTTACACTGGAACCAATGGGTACAGCAGCCCAGCCTGGTTCTGCCCAGCACATACTCGGCCCTCACATAAACCAGTGGGAGCTGCAGCCTAGTCAGAGCAACCCACACTAACCCTCACCAGGCCCGCCCCCTACCCTGGTTTGCCAGTATATGAAGCAGACTAGTCCAGTCTGTCCCACATCCCATTTGGCTCTCCTACATGTCAATGGGTATTGAAGCTTAGTTCCATCTAACCAGCTCAACTATTCAGTCCTCACGGATGTTGTTGGGTGCCTCTCTGTCTAGCCACCCCAGCCCCTTTCCTAGTTTTGGTGCCCTTCCATGGAAGTGGTAACCCAAGAGGGAGGAGCCCACTATTTCCCTTCCAGGTCTCACTCCCGGATTATGCACTCTCCAGGTAGTTCTTGGTTTGACTTGACAGAATCAGCCCCAGTGTCAGCTGATGCTTTGGCTAAGCTCAAACAACCCTCACCCACTCTAATTTTGTTTGCACCAGTAGGAATAATCAGCCCAGCCTGGCTTTTCCCTGACTTAGTACACATGAAGCCCATAGGTGTTGCAGCTCTGCTTAGTCTGGTTTGCCCCCATCCTAGCTCATGCTCACCAGTGGGACTCGCCAGGGGAGTTTCCCAAGTTCCTCCCCTTGATCCACTCCCAAACCCAGTTCTCATACATGTCATTGGCTTTTAGGCCAGTGCCCGGCACGGTCTGGCCTTCCATTTGGCCTTGTATGAGCTGGTGAATGTTGCAGCCCAGCCCACCCCACACCCTATTCAGGATGCAAATTCGGGTGCTGCTGCCTTGACCAGTTCAGACTGTTGTGGGTTCCTTTACCTGTGATTGATGGCAAGCTCCTTGGTCACACCTAGCTTAGTCCACCCCGACTCTTGAGCTAGCCAGTGGGGCTAGAATTTCCACAGGGTTTGGCCCACACATTCCCCACAGAATCTACCCCCAGATATGGTTCTTGAGTGCTAGTTAATGTCATGGCCCTGCCTAATGTGACCTGTCTGCTGATTCAACATCATGTCAGGTAATAGCATATTCTGATGGACAATCCCCGAGTCTTAGCTTTTGCATGAACTGGTGTTCAGTGCTCAGCATTGTTAAGTAATTACAAGTTCTTCAGAGGAAGAGTTACTGTCATTGGGAATCTTAAGGATTGGTTTACAACCCAGAAGCACAGTGGGTTCAACCTGGAGCTACCTAAGCAGTGATTCAAAGAACCAAAACCCCAAAGCTTCGTGGCCGGGCGGCCAGCAGGCAGAGCCTGGTGCCAAATGGCACACTGGCCGCCTGGGGAATAGCTCACCACGTGCACACAGTGGCTGTCGTCTGGGATCCAGGCATGAGACGCCTCATCCTGAGACCCACCCGCAGCCAGCAGGCTGCAGGAAGTTTAAACCCCCAAGCCCAAGGTTGCGCCCCTCCCAAATCCCATCCACTGCTCAATGAGGGCAGCGGGTGGGTCCCGAGCACGCCCAGTCATGGAGACCTCCCCCCTCAGTAGGTGTACTCACCCCGAAGGGAGCAGCCCCCGGAGCCCAGGCAGGCCTGGGGGCAGCTCACCATGTGCACGTGTTGGCTGGCATCTGGGATCTGGGCATCAGATGCACCGTCCTGAGACCTAGAGTTTCTCAAAGTTAAACTTGAATAGGAATCACCTGAGAATGTTGTTAAGACGTAGATTAGGATTCAGCAGCTGTGGGCCAGGACTTGAGATTCTGCATTTCTGAGTTCCGATAGGATGCCAGCAACGGTCATCTAAGAACTTTCTTTCCAAGACATCTCTATAGGCTCCTGGCTTTGAGCTGTCAAATGGAGATTTCAAATGTAGTGGGTTCTGGCACTCACGTTCCGGAAGTAGCTGGAATGAGCTCAGGCAACTGCCAGTGTCCTGGGTATCCCACGGTGGGGAGGCACCATCTCAGCCAAAGCATTTCTTGATTCCCCAACCACCCTTGCTGTCAGCATTATGCATGACACCCTTGTATCCCTGTTGGGAATTGGACATCTGCTGACGTTTTGTGCCCTTTGGTGGTGGCTCCAGCTGCCAGCCACCAGCTGCCAGCCATCGTTTGGTCATTCCAGATTGGACTATAAGGTTTGGGAGTTAGTGAGGGAGTGTTTTATTTCCATGGTTTGGGTGTGCTCCCAAATAACCCAGGGCGGTGTTTCTCCAACCTGAACACGCATCAGCTGACCTGGAGGGCTTGCTAACACATGGATCGCTGGGCCTGTTCCCCAGCATTTTATGATTTAGTGCATCTCTATTTCTCAGGAGTTATGGATGGAACTCCTGGGAAGAGGGAAGGAGCGAGGAAGGCAACAGGCCGCATGGTCTTTTTATGTGGCAGGCACACACAGGGATCCCAGACAAGATTTTCTTAGAGAAAATCCATCATTCTTAAGGTTGGAATATTGCTGCTGTGTGACTTTTTGCTTTTACATCATAGAAACCAAAGGAACAGGAAAATAAATTAAAAAGCTACTATCAGTGACATGAGAGGGATGCTATCAGTCTTACACAAATCAAACAAGGCGGGAAATCATCCAGCATTTGGAAGAGGCAGCGGGTCAACTGATGGGAGCCACGTTGAAACAACAGACGCAAGCAGGGGTCTCATGCCATTTCAGGTTGGGCGGACAGAGCCCCACTGCGTAGCAGGTGCACTGATCTCTCCTGCAGGTGGTCATGTACAAAAGGCCAGAGCTGAACCCAAGGGAAACGCCTGCAGTCCCTTCCGCTCAGCCTAGCAGATACCGTCAGCACAATTCCACCACCAGCAGGCAAGCTGCAGCCTCCTATCTACGGAGCTGAGGGCACACAGTAGGTGATGGCACACAATGGGCCCTTCACCGCACACAGCAAACTCCCAAGGCTGTGCCTGCGGCCTTTCTGGTTAAGTGGATTCTGTAATGTGGCCCTGCCCATCATGTTGTATCTCTTCTTTAGGAGACTTCTTGAGGTAACAGAAAGAACAGGGTTTGAGTAGCCTGCGGGTGGAACTGGAATTTCCAAATTGGGGACTTCCGCTAGTTCCAGTGCCCCCGGGGCATCAAGCACCAAATTCAAAGTTTGACAACAGACTGAGTGCTTGGCTGAAAAAAAGATTTGTATTCTTGCAAGGAAACTGGCCCCAGAGCTGTAAAAATGGGTTTGGACAAGCAGGGTGAGCAGGGTGCAGGGCTTTTAGAGCTGCAGAAAGAGCAATCTGAAGATTCCAAGGCTCTTGCTTGTCTTAAGCAGAAACAGGAATACATCTTTGTCACCACTGGAAGACTGGAGCCAACATGCAGTTTTCTTAAGCAACTTATTATTTATTCGAAGTCTTTGCATTGGAGAACACACAGTTAAGAGTCAATGTTATTCACCAGACCTCTCCCTCCCTCTCCCCCCCCCCCCACCGCCCCAATCCAGGGGCCACAACAGGATGGCGATCTGCCCAAGCAGTTTCTCTGTTGTACCCTTCACTTGTGGTGGACCCGCCTGGCTCCCGAGAAAGCGGTGCTGCCAGGCTCCTGCTGTTCCCGGCAGGCCTGCGGGCACGCGTCCCTCGGGTTCACCTTCTCACTCCTCCTTCACCTCCGGAGCGCCATGCGCAGGTGGCGCGGGTTATCCGCCCGCCCAAGGAGGCCCGTGCCGGCTAAAGCCGGGAATGGCAGGGCCTCGCCGCTTTGGCCAACACCTGCCATTCAGTCTCTTTTCCCCACTCCCGCCGGAGCGCGAGGGGGGCTCGCAAAAAGGCGGCGGCGGTTGGTGGCAGGACTAGCCAACCTCTCGGGGGAGGTCTGAACTTGTCTTCGGCCTCCTCCGGCTTCTCATCCGGGAGACGCCCTGCAGCAGGGCCGGCCTGGGTCCCCGGCGCGGCGCGCGCAGCCAGAGCGCTCGGGCGCGGACGTAGCGCGCGGCCCCGGGCCACCCAGGGCATCCCCGCGGCTGCGGGCGGAAGGCGAGGGCGGCCGCAGGAAGGGTCGGAGAGGCCACAGCCCCAGCTGCCCAGCCTCCCGGAGACGCCAGGCTCCCCAGGCCGGGCGCGCCGAGTGGCAGCGGCCGAGGGCGCGGCGCGGGCGGAGTCTTGGGGAGGGACCCCGGGTACCGGTTGGTTGCGGGCTCGGGGGCGGGGAGCTCGGGGGGCCGGACCGGAGGCGGAGCCCCCAAGCACTGGGCGCTGGAGCTGCGGGGCTGAGACGGAGCCGGGCGAACGGCTGGAGAGGAGTTGGAGGAGGAAGCGGTGACCAGAGGCGAGGACGGCTTGTCGAGCGAGCGAACGAGCGAACTAGCGAACGAGCGGGTCGGACGCGGAGAGCTGGGAGAGCTGGCGGCCGGTCGGAAGCCATCACGCCGGAGACTACAGCTGCAAGCGCGGGCCCCGCCGAGGAAGGAAGCAGCCGGCTGGGGAGGTAGGCGGCGGTCCGGGTGTGTGTGTGTGTGTGTGTGTGTGTGTGAGAGTGTGCGCGCCCGGGGAAGCGGGAGGCGGTGCCTTGTGTGCTGGGCTACCGCCCGCTGTCTTCCTGTCACCCAGCGGCGGCCGCTTCGCCTGCAAGTCCAGCCGGGAGGAAGCGGGTTGGCCGCGGGGTGGGGGGGCCCTCCGTGACCGCCGGGCATCTCCAGTCCGCCGTGCGCTCCTCCCGGCCCCATTTCCTGGGTCCCTCTTCCGAGCCGGCTGTGCGCGCCACGGTGGGCGCGTTGGCTACCGGAGTTGCCGCCGGCCAGCTCGGGCTTCCCTCCTCCCCCAACCCCCCCAGCCCTGCCCGGCCCCGTGCGCTTCCAAGGGACCCCTCGGTGGTGGTGGTGGTGACCTAGGCCTCCGCCGTGGGAGAGCCCCCTGCCACCCCTCCCCCCGGGCGGGGGTGCCTTCCAGCCGCGGTCGGGGTCCCCGAGGGTCCCCCCCCCAGCCCCCGCCCTCCCAAGTTTGCCGCCCTCCTCTTCCGGGGTGGGGGAAGTGCGCCTCGGGGCGCGCTTGGTGACGGGGGTTGGGGGACCCTGGGCCGGCGTCTAGTGCTGGCCAAGGCTCGGGCAGGTTGCTGGGAGGCGCCTTCTTTCGTGGGGGTCCTCGCCACGAAATGCAGCTTTTTTGTGGCACGGGGCGAGACCAGAGGGACCTGCCCAGCAACATGGAGCCGGCTGAGGGTAGCGAGGGAGCGTGCGAGCCGGGGCTTCCAGAGATCCCGGGAGGATTATCCGGGAAGCCCGGCTTCGACAACCCGCTTTCCCAGGGGGACAAAAACTCCCCGCGGGGATCACGAGACAAAGAGAACGGAAAAGCCCAGGCCGGGCAGCCGGCACCAAAGCGCACGTTGGGGAACCCGAATTGGAGCACGCAGTGCCAGGCTGTGAGCGCAATGGCTGTTCCGTGTTGAATGCACCAGGCGTGTGTGCTGGGTTCGGAGAGGTTCTGCCGCGCGCCTCGGGCGCTGTCGGTACCGGGAAGGTCCCAGGTCAGCTTTAATCCCCAGGCGCAGCTGCATCGCGCCTGGCGCCCCTGTGAGTGGGTGGACTCGGGGGCTTCCTGACCTGAGAGCTTTTTTTATTTTATTTTTATTTTTGGTGGTAGTTCTTTTTCTATCAGTGCGAAGTAGGAGTGGATACGAAGCAGTTCCGGGTTTTGAGGGCGACTTCAGATTAGCCTGTCGGGGCGGCGAGGTGAGGTGCACGTTGTAGTTGTTAGGCGGGATAATCAGAACGCTTTAAGGACCTGGGCTTTCCGTGGAATTAACTGTTAGTAGTCCTGTGCGCTAGAGGCGCGTTTTGGCAGCCTCCAGTGGGAAGGTTGCTGTGGGCAGGCAGGTTCACTGGCGACACAGAACCATCTTCGGGGTAGAGATGCTTAGGAAGTGGGTGACGGGTACCTTACCCGAGGGCCGCCTGCGACTTTCAGCATTGAAAAAGAAGGGTGTGAAAAAGCCCGTCCGTTGTTGTAACTTTTTAACAATGCCTTGTTGTGAAAATAAATGGCTTGAAAGCAAGAAACTGTGAGTTGCTTGGGCACAAAAGTTGCTGGAAGTTTCAGGGGGGAGCATTTTTGTACTTTACAAAAAAAAAAAGCAGTGTGTGTGTGTGTGTGTGTGTGTGTGTGTGTGTGTGTTCCTTCTCCCAGCACCACTGCCCCATCTCCCTCCCTCCGCCTTAAGTTTGGGAAGGCACGTGGGTTGAGAGTCAAGGTTAAAACCTGCTGGTTTTGCAGAGGTGCTAAGCCAAGTCTTTGCAGGCCTGCTCAGCGTTTATATGGCTCTTACAGTATAGGGGGCCACACTACCTGCCCCCCGCCGTGTAAATGGAGTGTGTGTATGTGAGAGAGAGAGAGAGGGAGAGACTGGAAGAAAGTGCTGGATCTGATCCTGGCTTTCCAAGTACTGTATGCGTTTACTTTGTAACTTTCATTTTGCTCTGCTACCTGTTCGCATTTGCATAAGGCATACTGTGCTATCTGCTGCTTTATCTTTTATTTTTTAATGACATCACTTCACATGCGTATGCTGTGCAGACACTGTGAAAAAGCATTGTAGTCCTCATCTATTTTTTCTTGGTGGAGTTTGGGGGAGGGAGCTGGGTGTGAAGGTGGTTTGGAGAGACAAGGGCCACCCAGCCATAGGGGTACCCATTTTACTGGGGATGGGGCCTGCATATGTCTGTGGAAATACTCATTGCAATGAACTTTTTTTTTTTCCTTTCTCATTAGGGTTTTAAATCTTAAATGCAAAGCTACTTTTCCAAATCTTGTCCTGTGAAAGTCCTGACTGTTCCTTTAGTTGCATTTTCCCCCCCGGAGAAAGCTTGTCAGTTTCTAGGTTGGAATTCGGACAGAAATTTCCCTGCTTCCGTCTGCAGTCGCTTACGGGAGTGTCTTAGCAAGGCGCTCCTCTGACGCGTCCACGTGACCGATAGAGGCACAATTATAGCTCAGCTTTTATTTGCATTCTTTGGTTTGCAAAGTGTGTCTTATTGGTACAGGTGATGAATGAGCCGGCTGAAAAAGAATTGAGTTTCTGGTCAGGTAGACTAAAGCAGAGCGAGAGAATATTTGCATTTGGGTCGTGGCTTTGAATTCCCTCGGGCTGGAGGCATATATAATGTAGGAAAAAAAAAAAAAAACGGGAAGTATGTAATTGCCAGTGTGCTGTAAGGTTTTGGCAGACTGTGCCCACAGCTCCCTGTGGCAGGGCACAGAGCTTGACCGGGCAAGCCAAAAGAATGAGACATCTTTTTTTTTCTTTTAAAGATTTTATTTTTATTGCAAAATCAGCTATACAGAGAGGAGGAGAGACAGGAAGATCTTCCATTCGATGATTCACTCCCCAAGTGGCTGTAACGGCCAGAGCTGAGCCCACCTGAAGCCAGGAGCCTGGAGCCTCTTCTGGGTCTCCCACGTGGATGCAGGGTCCCAAGGCTTTGGGCCATCCTCGACTGCCTTCCCAGACCACAAGCAGGGTGCTGGATGGGAAGTGGGGTCGCCGGGATTAGAACCGGTGCCCATATGGGATCCTGGTGCATGCAAGGCAAGGACACCAGCTGCTAGGCTGCCGCACTGGGCCCCAGAACGAGACATCTTAGTGAAGGTTGCTCCTTAGTGGGATGATCGTCATCCACTTTTTTTTTTTAATATTAGAAGGTATAATGTAAATTACTGACGTAATGTACAAAACGAGGGAAAATCTAGGTTATCATGAATTTTTAAAGTCCTCGTGTTTTTCTGCCTCATTTTTGCATTCTTCTTCCATTCCCACCCTCGTGTGAGTGCTTGCCAGTACTCTTATTATTGGAGTGACCGGCCGAAAGAGGGGCAATTAAAGGCCATTTCATGTACATCAAGCCAAATGGACTGCAAAATAAACTATGTAATTATGTACAAGCTTTCTCTTTGGCTTAGGTTAGGTTTTTTTTTTTTCTTTTAATAATACAGGATAGAATGAGTATAGTATAGCTTTTATTGGGAAAAAAAAATCCATTATGAAAAAAAAAAAAGCTGGAGGTTTTGTTTTGTTTTCTTTCAGGTAAATCAAGTGCGGACCCACAGGCATCTGTAGATCAAATGGTTTTCAGGTTGTTGATCATCCTAGGGAGAACTCAGGCAGGGCAGTGCGGCTGCAAGATGGGCACACCCCACCAGTGGGCACAGTGGGCTCTTCTAGCCAAGGTGCCAGCCTACTGCGGCATGCCTCCGCCCCCCCGCCGGCTCCCTCCCCGGGGAACTCCAGGGGTCCTCATGCAGGGCTTCGCCCCCGATAGTTAGGACTGCCATGAGGATGCAGCCGCCCAGCTCCTGGAGCCAGCAGGTGCAAAACCCTATTGGGAAGGAGTATTTTCCCCAACTCCATCTGCTGCCTTGGTGTGTGCGCGCGCGCGTGTGTGTGTGTGTGTGTGTGTGTGTATGCATGCATAGGCACCTGTAAGCACACGTGCATATGCCCACAGAACCCCTACCGGGACTCCTTTGCCCTCCTGAGAGAAGATGGACGAGGTTCCAGCAGCGCCTGTGTCCCTGTGTCGGCTTTGACAAGGACTCGAGTCGGGCAGGGAGTTCAGGATTCATGCAGGACCTGCTTGCAGCTTTAAGAGACAATTCCTGGCTAATGGCCATTCCTATTTTAGGTCCGAATCGTTTACATGGCAGCAAGTGGCACTCAGTATTAATAGTGCCGACAGCAATAAAAATACCGTAGCTGCTGGTTACTTGTGATTCTAACTGTAGGCCGTTGATTTGCCTTTTCCTCGGCTTATTGTCTCGTCTGTGACATGAGGATAAAGATTATTCCTGAGGTGCCTGTCCGTGGCTGAAGGGCTGAGTGATACCTGAAGCACGGTCCCAGTACCTCCAAGGCTTCCATCCTTGGTGTCAGACCTGGCTTCGTGGGCCTCTAGTTTCCACTGGCTCTGCTCACGTGCCTTAGGAGGTTAAGGTGTATCTGTTCTGTCTCTCTCCCAGGAGGTGCAAGGGTTAAGCCATCCGTCCAGGGTTAAAGTCTAGGCCGTGGTGGGCCTTTATATGCAACCCGGGGCGTGCCCTGGCTTTTCTAGGAATGTTCCAGAATAGCATGATTTTTTTTTTCCCCCTCCCAGGAAGTAAATAATCAGTTTCTCCTCTCCTGAGGGGGCTGGTGTGGTCAGCCAGTCTGCGGGGTTAAGTGTCCCCCTCTCCCAGCCCTGGTGGGGATGACTGTTGACCACCTGCAGGTGGCTGCGGGAGGTGGGGGCGCCTCTGCTGTACTCAGGTACCAGGCTGAGAGCCCCAGCTCCTCCCTGTCTGCCGTCTCCCCTCCCCCAACATGCCACACCTGAAGGGGCACTCCGTGCTCAGCTGTCTCCCACCCGGTAGCTACCATAGAACTGTAGGCAGGGCATCTGGCTGGGCCGGTGGTGGTTTGGAAATGAATGAGGCGTTTGTTGTCTATCGCTAAGGGCT